GGCCCTGACCGGTGTGAGATGATAACGCATTGTCGTTTTGATTTGCATCTCTCATATAATTAGTGACTTTGAGCTAGTTTTCATATGTCTTTTGGCCTTTTGTATGTCCTCTTTCGAAAATTGTCTGTCTAGGTCCGTTGCCCATTTTTTGATTGGATTGTTTATCTTCCTATTGTTAAGTTGCATGAGTTCCCTGTAAATGTTGGAGATTAAATCCTTATCGGTGATATCATTGGCAAATATGTTCTCCCATGTAGTGGGTCTTCTTGTTGTTTTGTTGATGGTTTCCTTTGCTGTGCAAATCAAACATGTTTCTAATAGGAAAAGATTCTGCTTTTATTTTCAAGTAGACCAGAATGAATTTATTCTGGCTTATGACTATTTAGGTTCATACTACAATCCAATGGCTGATCCTTGACTGCTCAGCTAGTCAGCATTACATGTGGACCTTGAACACATGTTCTATCTGCTGCAAGTTTACAGTCAAATGGAGAGAAAGACATGGTAAAATGAGTGTAGAGACTACAATAGTTGAGAATCCTCAAACTCTGTGTAATGAAAAATAATCATATTAATCCAGTGTGCTTTAAAATTTGTTTGGAGCAATAATATTTAGTCTCTTTAGGTTTACCTCCATCCTCCTCTTTCTTTCTAAGATTGTATCTGAGTAGATGAGTGAGCGGCTCACTGGACTTTGTGACTGAGGAGAGGTCCTTGACCAAGGGTCTTTGTCAATATCCTTTACTGCTGGTCTCATTCCTAGATGTGCTATCTCCGGTTCATGTACTGGTATATATGGTCTATTCTCTCTGAATTTAGATAGGGTCCACTCTTACCATTCATCAGTAAGGTAGGACTTTCTGAGTCTCTTCCATCTCCTTCATCTGCTCTGCAATTGTCCAGCACGTATGCCAAACCTTTGCTATGGGTTACCTCATCCTTGCAATGGCAAGCTCCTTGGCAAGTCTAAACTCAGTGTCCATGTCACTTATGAACCAAGGGAGAGCTAACATGAACATTATATCCTCTCTGCCTAACCCCGCTATTCCATCCTGTTGAAAAGCTGGGGCCACCCTATGTTGGCAGGAAGCTGCCCTGCAAAGCACTTTCTCCCAGAATCTCAAAGGATGTGGAAATACCTCTCCACCTTTGGTGTTCTCAACCTACATAATATTCCTTCCCCCTCTGAAAAGCCAAAGAGGCACACAGATTACTGTCTTGCTTTCACCACCACTTGCTGTCCCCTCCTCCCCCTCTTCTCCTCCCCCAAACCAGGCAGGAAGCCATTTCTTGTCTGATCTATGGCAAAGGGTTTGGGGGCGATGTGGGCAGTGACTTTGAGGAATTGGGGCAGACAAAAACTGGCGAGCTGAAATCAGCCCTACAGACATTTATACTGAACTTGTGTTCATTTTCAGAAGAAAATCTCCTCTACAGATGAATGATTTTTGTACAAAAGAAAATAAATCTGTCAGAATTGATCCATTAAGTGAGTCTCATGCAGTAGGAAAGAAAAGCTTGCTCCCCTTATGCTTTGAGGATGAATTGAAAAAGCCAGATGCCAAGATAATCAACATTAGTCCGGCAAAGACAGTAACTGATCACCAGGTAACAGTTTACTGCTGTTCAGTAAACATGTGTATTCCACGACTTGTGGGAATGTCATGTTCGAGTGACCAGAATCTTTGGTAAATCCTTCTTTTGGTTTCACACACTTAAAGTCCTAATGCTCTTTTTGAAACCGTCCCCCCCAAATTGAGGGTTGCTTTGCATCAGCTGAACATTCTGCATGTTTTTAAATGAAGAAGGCTTTATCAAATTTTCTTGATTGTAAGGAAATATAAAATAAAAACGGTATTTAAAAAAAATGGATCATGCATCACTTTTCTATCAATCTACTTCAGCTATTTCAACCAGAAAGTCCACTTATTACAGGCTATTTGGCAGCTCACAGAGTCTCTAGGAAGGCTGAAAGCTGTCCAGTCAGAAGTCACCAAGTTATAGACTCAGACTGCTCCACTGGGGCCCATGCTATTGTCAACGACTCTAATTCTGGGCAGGGGACACTATTTCTAATAACCTTGCTACTGCTGCCCTTCAAAGCTATATATATCCATCACCATCCTCACTAAAATAGTTTTAACAATTTTTTCAGAGTCCTTGCTTTTTCTTAATTAAAGACTTGTCTTTGATATATCTTACTGGAAGAGCCCAGGTCACATGCCTATGCCCTAACCTCAAGAGAGGCTGACACAGCCTGCTTATCCTTAATGGTACATAGATTTGAAAGGTGAAAAATTCTTAAGGTATTGGACAGAACAAAAATATGACACATCTCCATTACTGTGGTTAAGTGGATAACAATGGCATCACCAATGGATTGCAAAACTCGATCTTCTGTCATTTGGGGGGAAATCATAGGCATTAACATGTCTTTAAACTAAGTATACTAATATATAATTAGATAGATCTTAGTTTCTTATTTTATTAACTAGAGGCCTGGTGCATGAGATTTGTGCACTTGGAGCGGTCCCTTAGCCCAGCCTGCGCCCTCTTGCAGACCAGGAGCCCTTGGGGGATGTCCAACTGATGGCTTAGGACTGCTCCCCAGCAGTTGGACATCCTTAGTGCTGCCTTGGAGGTAGGAGAGGCTCCTGCCACCGCCACTGCACTTGCCAGCTGTGAGCCTAGCTCCTGGCTGAGTGGCGCTCCCACTGTGGGAGAGCACTGACCACCAAGGGGCAGCTCCTGCATTGAACGTCTTCCCCCTGGTGGTCAGTGTACATCATAGTGACCAGTCGTTCTGCTGTTCAGTTCATTTGCATATTAGCCTTTTATTATATAGCATTATACTAGAGGGCTGGTGCACAGATTCATGTACTAGTGGGGCCTCCAGGGATCGGGACGAAATTGGCTCTACGACATCCCCTTAGGGGTCCCAGATTGAGAGAGGGTGCAGGGCAGGCCGAGGGACCCCACTGGTGCATGATCAGAGCTGGGGAGGGACTGTGGGAGCACTCCAGAGTGTGTCTGGCCTGCCTCACCCAGGCCTGATCAGCTGGACCCCAGCAGCAAGCTATAACTTACCAGTTGGAGTATATGTTCCCTAGTGGTCAGTGTGCATCATAGTAACTCGTCAAATGGTTGGACGTCAGACACTTAGCATATTAGGCTTTTATTATATAGGATATCTAAAGAAAAAGTAGCAGTCATTGTAAACTAAACACTGATAATATTTATACTTAAAAGTTTTTTTGGAGTTAATTTTTTTGCTCTAGAAATGTGTGGAAGAGATTCATGAGAAGCTCATACATACACATTTTGCTATTACTGTGATAAAAATAGTCTATCTTAAAGTCAATCTATCACTTTGGCTACTTTATACTGCAAATATATATTGGGCACTTCTTATGTGTTAAGTATTGGGGCACAATAAAAAATACAACCGTTGTAAAGATAATTTTAGATTTTCTGAATTATTTACTAGGATATCCAGAGTTTGCAATTTGTGTTTGTAATCAGTTATGTCTCATGACCTTTGACTCAATCCATTTTTTTTATATGCTTCTTAATTCTGGACATGAAAACCTAAGAAATGTCAGAATGATGTTTTATTCTACCAATAGCCCACCTTATTTACAAAAGGGTTTTAGAAGGCCCAAAGTTCAGATTTTTAACGCTAACATCCTGATAAAATATTAAGAAGAGAAAGAAGTATGTCACATACAAGTACTTGTTTTTGTGTGTGCGTTTGAATATCACTATCATTCATATTTAAAACTTCTATGTATCTTTTTTTGAATATTTTATTTTGTTTAAAATATATGTAGCCATCTTGCCTCAATAGACTGATGACTAAGTACTCTTTTCTTTAATTCACAGGAACAAAATTCCACAAATCCCATAATTTTTCATGAGACTAGGCATGTACAAATGTTTATTTTGACAAAAAATAGGCTGCTGCTCTATCCTTTGGAAAATAGAAACATTGGCCCACACAAAAGAGTACATTTTGCTTTAGAAAGAGATGAAGTTATCAAACCTGGAATTAATACTCAATTTATTACTTCTACCAAACCTAAAAAAATCATGCCTACAGCATGGAGGAAGAGTATGCAGGCAATATCTTTTGCAGTGTGTCGCAGAGTTGTAGAAGATAAACTAAAGAAGAAAACTACTATGCAAACATCCAAAAACATATCTGAGAAATCCTATAATTTCTCAGAGCCTCTTTCCAGCCTAACAAAAAAATGTGTAGATTTCCTTGGTAAAACTGTCATTCAAGAAACGAGTGCTAAAATTGGCAAATTTGAAAGAATGTTGTTCACAGTAACACCAACGAGCAAATTCAGTGCTTCACCTGTCAAATGTTGCTCAAAGCCTTTAAAACGCATAATCCAAGTCCACAAATTACCGACTGTAACTCCACTGGATAATTTGTTAACCTTTTAAAGTGAAAATTAAATGCCTCATAAAATATTGTTTACCGTAATACTTGGGTAACAAGAAGCAAAGAACAAAGTTTCAAGATCATAGAAGAAATTCTTGTTGAAATAGTAATGTTCTAATGGATGGCATAAGAACGCAAAGCATAAAAGTTGGAGTTATAAATCAATAGACCTCTGTTTAAGAAAACTCAATGTTTTTACAAGAAAAAAAGAACAAAATTAGGAAATAAGTATCAACAAGGGGAATTAGTTCATGAATTTCTATTACCCCAATTTGGTCCTCAATCACCAGCATTCCTACAGTAAAATTTGATTTGGACCATGAATGTCAGACTGATTCTGGAAATTCACTATGAGAAGCCAAATAACATCGATAACTTTGCTCTATAATTGAATAAAAAATAAAATAAATGTACCATTAACTTGATGTATTTGGAATTAATCATATCAGCATTGTAGATAATCATTGAAAAATATTTTACATTAGCAATTTGTGCAATTATAAAGGCTTTGTAAATTTTCAGATAGTTTTTTGTTAGTAAATGTTAGAACTTCGTTACTATAAAATGTCTTTTTCAAGTATAACTTTGACTTTTTTCTCAATTGTTAAACAATTTAAAAGGACAACTTATACTTCATAAGCTAAATAATATTGGTAGCAAATCCTATAAAGTATTGAACATTTTAAGTATAGTATTTAACTTCTCGTTAACCCGGACAGGAAAAAGCAGAACTCAACTTAGAAACAAGTTGCATTTCAAAGTTCACTTATAAATCCATTTGTTAGGGGATTAAAAAATTTTTTTTATGATTTCAGAGAGTGGGACAGAGAATGGAGAGGGAGAGAGAGATAGAAACATCAGCAACGAGAGAGAATATCATTGATCGGCTGCCTCCTCTATGCCCCACACTGAGGATGGAGTCCACAACTGAGGCATGCTCCCTGACTGGGAATCAAACCATGACCTCCTGGTTCATAGGTCAATGCTAAACCACTGAGCCACGCACTCCAGCCAGGCATTTCTTGGAAGATTAAAAAAAAAATCTTAACTGTTAGTACTTGAGGAGAATTGTGTTTAATTAGAAGCATTTCAGTAAGGGGAAGGCTTTGGGGGTCTTTTGAAAACTTCCAAGGGTGAGGAGATAAAGTTGTTCAGGTTCCTGTTTCCACTTCAGACTGGAGGTTGTCCTTATTGTGCGTCATCAATGCTACTCTTGGGTGTCTCTTCACAAGTAGCAGCAACCTGGGCTCTCAAATAGAATGACCAGAAGAGAAAATGGAGATGGGAGGGGGTGAGAGGGCTATAACTGGAGACTAAAAGAAGGAAGAGCAAAAGAAAGGGTTTCAATATAGGGTGGTGGGCTCAGGTACGTGGGAGGTAGGGGAGGAGCATACAAGCTTTCCTGGCTGTTTGCCTTTACTAGTATTCCAGTTACTGGCCAGGGAGAAGCAGCAGCCACAGTTCAAAGTCATGAAGTCATCTTGCTCTTTGCCCAACAAACAGGGATTGACCCTCTTGTTCTCTTTACTTTCTCCTGTCTATTCTCCCTGTACCCCAACCCCACCCCTCTTTTCCCTCCTCCCAGGCTCACTACAAAGCAAAACAGTTTCCCTAACTACCCTGCTGGCTCAGAAAATAAAACACAAATTCTTTTTAATTACTGACAATAAAAATAAAAAGTAATAGAAAATATACCTAATAGTACACAGTAATGCTGGTTGTTTTTTGTTTATCTGTTTGTTTTCTGATATTCAGTATCAGATAAACAACTGTGCACCTTGGGTTCGGGCAGATGTGAATGAACTTGGGTAAACAAAATAAACTATCTGAGCCTCACTTTACTGTATCCCCTCCTTAAGATGGGATAGCCATGTCTTATTACAGTGTTATTTTCAGGATTAAAAAATAATGTGAAGTACCTTGGGTATGGTAAACATTCATTTAAGATTCCTTTCCTATTCCTACCCTTTCCCCTACTCTTCATGTAAATATAACATCTTAAAAGAAGTTCCTCCAAGTCTCTTCATTCAATCTTTTCTAAAATCTAATTACAGTTTTTAGACTATTGTCTAAAGTAGACTCAAATGAAAGCTGAGGATTTTTGTATTAGTTATTTTGGGCAGTATCTGCTTGAGTTGGTGAGCTTTACCCGTTAGGAAGGCACTCAGTCAACTTAAAAACTCCATTTTGCTGAGGATTCTCCATTAAAACAGCTGAACAGTTGGGAGCAGTGGATTCTGGGAAGAGGGTGACCTACACTCAACACCTTTCTTTTCTTCTCTCAACTTAAGCCTGCCATCTCCTAAACCAAACAGCTGCTGGAATCTTTAAGCAGTGGGTTGTAAGGTCAGACATGGTTTCCATTCTGATGCTGACATCTGAGTATGGTTTTTGGAGACCAGTCTCTGAGTCACAAGGCAATGATGGGGGTTGTGTTATATCCTGGGACTAGCTGTCCAGTTGGGCTCTGTAGAAATAAAAATTCTATCTAATAAAAAGGGAATATGCTAATTGACCATCATGCCATCACAGAGATGGTGGCACCCACAGCCAATAAGGAGGGAATATGCTAATTGGCTGCCCTGCCCTCAAAGATGGCAGTGCCCACAGCCACAAGATGGCCAGTAGGGGAGGGCAGTTAGGGGCAA